AATTACTGGCAGCGCCGCCACCCAAGACAGCATCTTCTCCGAGTTTCAGATCAGAAAAGAACAGGATCATCCTCCTAGGAATATCTGAATTGTGGAGTAGCTCCAGAGTACCTGCATCGTCTGTCAAACTCTTCTGTACAAGCCGAGGGCACCAGGTATGGAAATATAGTTCTTTAGGCAGACGCACTTGATCTACGTATGCCTTATCCATTCTATAGGTAGGGTAAACAAAGTCCAGCTGCAGCAGATCAATGTTGACAGGCCCAACACCTGTTAGACTGTTTCCTCCTCCGCCTCTATCCGAGACAATCATATATCTAGAGAGCTGGGTTTGCGGTAAATCAAACCGTATTTTGATTTGTGTTCCTGGAGGCAACCACGCATCATCCACATTGAAGAAGGGAAGGAATGGTCTCATTTTGAACTGGAAATGCGCTGATGTCACACGGGCAACGTTTTCCAGAACAGTATTACTGAAGTTCTCCTCATTCGACAGGTGGACAGTGGGCCGTCTTTTCAGTGTCGTACCATCGAAATCATCTTCGCCATCTGTGTTTGTTGCAAACGCATAGGCGTGCGAGCGTTTTACACCATACCGATAATTCCCTAGAGGTATATCTTTAACACACTTCTGGGGGTCGAGTTTCTGAAGTCCGTACAGATCAGAATCGGAATATTGGAGTTTAGCCACGTCACTCTCCATAAGGCTAAGAATGTGTTGCACACTCTGCATATCTTGCACCTTGCTAGATTGCGTCACCTCCGTGCCATTTAGTTCCACGCGGATATTCTTGAACCATGAAAATGCAGGGGAGGTGGTACACACCCAGTGTGGATATGATCTGGCTCCATTAGCCCGACTATCACTAACTTCATACCGGAGTTTGACGATAAAGTAACTTTCACTCAAGGCAATGAAATTTGGTGATGATATATCCAATTCGCTGTTCAGAGAGGGTGGTGAACCATTTCGAGAATACAGTCTTACAAAGTTTCTCCCCTCTAGGAGTGATATCTTCTTTTCGGTTCGCTCTAGGATGCTATTCTGCACCACTTTAGTTTTCGACAGCAGCCCCTTAAAGGGGTCTGGGATCTGAGTGGCCACGACGTGCTGCGCCATTCTTACTTGTACGTGGAAAAATTTACTCGATTCTCAGATCCAATAACGCCGGGTACCCCGTGGTGATAAACTCTCCAGTGTTGTACTTCAGCCAAAATGATATTTCCGTAACGCTTGAGTGCGGAAGTAGAGCGCGTTTGTCTCTCTCTCCAAATATGTAATTGTTGATACCGTTGTGAGTTTGAATGGGGAACGTCTTCAAAATCCTCGAGTCCTGATTGTCTTCATATTCCACGGCCTGGGCGATCAGGTCTGTATACAACAACACAAACCTTCTCCCTCTAGTCAGATCAACTGCATACGGTGATGTGAAAAGACCAGGTTGTATGGTCACGGATTCTGCAATCGATCCCAAGCCCAGAACGACACTGGGGGAGTGGGGTTTCAGGATAATTTTTTTCCCGACAGGTACGCTGATGCTCGCTCGGCTTGTATAGCGGGAATAGGAAAACACAATATCTGGGTGATTTGCACTTTTCAGTGCCTCGTTAATGACTGTAATGAGATCTGCAATATCCGCGTGAGTTCCTGTTAGGATGGAGAGTTGAACTTCCCCTTCTTGCGTCTCCACGTACAATTTGTTACTCTCCGTATCAACGTTTTCAGAATGAAGTTCGAACTGGGCAGTGTCCAAACTGATGTGTTTCCCTATGGTATTCAAAGACCTGATACGCAGTGTAAAATGAGGCGTGAACGCACCGGCTATAACGGCAGAAGCGTTGTTTACTGCAGACAGTACCACCGCCATACCTACTGTACAGGGGAAATATTTCCCCATAATAACAAGGATGGCGTTTTGGAGCATGCATTTCCACAAGAGCCCGTCTGAGGAAACCTCCAGCCGAACAATAAGAACCTTGAAGGATGATATTGCGCAACTCAAAACTCTGGTGGGTAACGATAACACCAAAAACACCCTGATGTACAATGTCGGGGCACTACAGAACAGCAAGTTGAATAAAACAGATGCTGAGATCATGGAGGGTCGAATCAAAGAATTCGCGGAGTCAACGGTGATAGATGACGAAACCCATTTGAAAACGGATGGCAGCGTGAGGATGAGAGGAAATCTGCACATGAATGGCAAACGTTTATGCTGGCTGGATTACGACGGTGTGTCGGACACCTGTGCTGTACCTGCTGGGTGGGTGAAGAAGGAATTAGCCCAAATCCGCAAAATGAAAGGTCCTAAAGGTGATCCAGGATTTGGTTGGTATAGCGGAGCAGACCCTCCGTCGCCACCCATCGGCAGACAGGGTGACTTCTATTTGGATGCTACCACCCTCGTTGTATATAAAAAACTCATTGCGGGTTGGACTGCATTCGGATCACTTAAAGGACATCGAGGAAGACCAGGGGTTCCTGGACCAAAAGGAAGTCCTGGCCCGACTGGGGAATCTGGATTGCAAGGTTTAAGGGGCCACACAGGACTGCAAGGACCCCAAGGGCCATCAGGACACATAGGTGCTACAGGGCCGCAAGGACCCCCAGGAAACATAGGGCCCCAAGGACCTGAAGGATCGCCAGGCCCTCAGGGTGACGTGGGACCGCCGGGGCCCAGAGGTCCTCGGGGCCACAGTGCAAAGAGTCTTCCAATACTTTTTCCATAATACGAAAAACCAGAGTGAGATTATAGAAATGTTTCCTTTCTTTTCAATTCAACGAATTCATGCAATGGATGGTTTGATTACGGTTGAAATTGACTGTATGATTCATAAAGAACAATATTCTCCAAGCAAGTGATGACACGTGCACCTTAAATCAGTTTAGAATGCCTGCACAATGGTGGATAGTATATAGATCAATGCATCTGGATAGTCATCATAAGCCAGTGAGGCAGCAAGTGGTAGCTTCGGTTCAACTCCATAATGTTGGATGAGTTCAATCATTAGCTGTTCTTCTTGCTCTGTCATATCCACCGTCCTCTCAATAAACCGTTCAAAGTGAGCCTTACGTAGTTTCTTTGGGGTTATGACCTTCATCCACATTTTGAAGAACACTGGGGAAGTCTTGAATAGGGAAGCATTTCTCATCCATGCATCTTTGCTTCTGGGGAGATGAAGACTGAGTATCTGCACCATCTCTTCATCTTCATAGTAAATGCATGACAGGGCGATGGCATAATTCAGAGCTCTATACTCACTGCCCTTCTTCATAGCGTAGAGGCGTTGCCGAGTTTCAAAAAGCCATGGGTATAGCGGCTTACACACTCCCACCTTCTCGATAAAAGCCCCCAGACTTTTATCCACTGATTCCAGTCGCTGCACATCTGTGTAAGGCTTACTGGGCAGCATTACACGCTCTGCTACATTTGCCTCTGGCGCACACAAAGAGCCCAAGACTAGACCACATTTCATGCAAACGACAGCTTCTTCCGTTTCTATTTCTTCATGGTTACACCCATCACAAAATTCAACTTCCTCCTGAAACTCCATGGTGCCAAATGCAACTGTAATGATCCTGACGCATTACTTTATCCCTTCCACTAATTGTTATCGACCAATCAGCATACTCTCGTCACCTCACATCCAATCAGCATACCCCACGTCACACTAAGGTTACACACACTTGTGTCATATATGCGAAAAAATGGTACTGGATCATAGCAAAATCCTCCTGGATAATGAACAAAATAACGATTAAAACACAATACACAATAACGACAACAACCGACAACAACAACCAACAACAACCGACAACAACCGACAACATCCGACAACAACAACCAACAACAACCAACAACAGCCAACAACAACCAACAACAACCAACAACAACCAACAACAACCAACAACAACCAACAACAACCAACAACAACCAACAACAACCAACAACAACAACCAACAACAACCAACAACAACCAACAACAACCAACAACAACACCAGCATTATAATGCATGGATAGTGCATGCAGGGTCAGGGACTGAAAGTCGCACGCTAAGTAAGGGCAACTTGTCAGTGCACATCTACGATGTGCGAATAAAACGAATGCAAGGAAAGTGAACTTGTTGCTGCACATCTACGAAGTGCGAATCAGGGATTAGTATAATGACACGTGTACTAGTCCACCTTGTGTATACGTCTTTTCCACACGCAGGGCCACTGAAGGTCGCACGCTCCGCGTGCGTATGCGCGCATGCGCAATATGTCACTGCACATCTACGATGTGCAAATCAGGGAGTAGTACGTATTTTACTACTCCCCGGTGCGAATGCACCGAACTTGCACAAGTGCACGGTCGCCACGGAAAAGAACATGATGACATTTATGGCATGGCAGGGCCAAAGGTCGAACCCTGGGGGAGTCCCGGGGCCAGACCAAGCGCGCCCGACACAGTGTGCCTTATTTAACCCAAAGGTCAAAGGTCAAACCCTGGGGGAGTCCCCGAGCCAGACCAAACGAGCCCGACACAGTGTGCCTTATTTGGCCCAAAGGTCAAAGGTCAAAAAGTGCACCAGAACCCGCCCCGCACTTACTACTGTTCGTTTCCTCTGTTCAGACTCTTCGGAATGTTGGCATTGTTCAATATAGTATGGTTCTAGACTCTGCATAGGTGCACCTTTTCGACTTGTGGAAATATGCCTGTGTCCTTGTGTGAATATGCCACCGAACAGAGAATGGCGTCCCCGCACGCTTCAGATTCCACACATTGTTTGACAGTTCAGTCTTGTTCTGATACAGTTCATGGCGGAAGCCCATTGTATGATTTTTGTACCGGTTCTTGAAGAGAGGCCCGATCAGTCCGCTGTACTCTCTATCGCCATTTACTGTTTCTTGATACAGAAGAAACGAACTACACGCGTTCGATTAGGCATGCGAACTGATTCCCCAATCAATGGATTTGCGCTATTCACACCACCCCATGCTTTAAAGGGGAACTCCACGAAAAAATGAAACTTTGATAGCCTGTAGAGTTTCGGGCGCTGAGTCGAATGGTCTTGGTCCGAAGTCTCTACGACGAAGCGTTCTTGAGATATTTCACTTTGAAATTGCAAAAACGGGGGCCGCGCCCTGACGTCATGCGGCCATTTGGTTACATCATCACGGGCTGCCTACGTCATTGTGGCAAAGTCGTTTCTCTTCGCCAGTCTACAAGCACTAATTTTAGTTGGTATTTCAAGGGAAGATGGGCGATTCCGAACAATCCTCTGTCCCCAGCAATGAAGGCAGCGATGCTGAGGCCAGTGAGGACGACCAACAGCCCACCGCCGCGTATGGTTGGGGCAGGGAGCCCAGATACTCTGCTGAGGAGCTGCCATCGCGTGTAACAAATGTGGAGGAAGAAGATGCGTCAGCAGCTGCGTCCGACAGAAGACGAGTAGCTTGGCCACCAGAATCTCGATTCGTTTGGGACTCCGACTGGTGCGAGCGTGGACAAAAGTGTATAGCCATGCCCAGCCGGCGGGAATGATTTTGCTGGTAGGATGCTGCCGTCGCTGTCGACAAGACGGCCCAAGGTTTCTTGCGTAGCGGACCTCGCAGATTACGAGATCGTATCCTTGCATTAGGCTGTGCTCATCACTGCTCTTCGAGGTTATCTCGACATGCAGAAGCCGCCAATGCCAGTGACAGAAGAGTCTGACATTAGGTAAGCCTCAATTAGTTTGCCTTGACTTGTCTTGTGTGGATCGCGTATCAGCATGATACACTTATTCTTATTTTTTGGGGGAAATTTATTGTTGTCAGGCGCACTACAGTAGGCGTCGCAAAAGAAAAACATTGTACTGGTAGTTATCACAAGTTTCATGCATGACACAAACAAATTTCTCTTTGCTCCGAGTATGTCTTGACTTATCTTGTGAGGATCGATGCGCGTAATGTTTTGTGTGTAACTAATTATTGTTGTCAGGCATAGCACGAACAACGTTGTTCTGTACTATAGACCGTGCTATCACAAGTTTTCATGCATGACTCACATTTGTCTTTGTCATTTTCCCTTGGATTGGTACAAGATCTACAAAGTATGGTAGGTAGTGTTCTGTTGGTGAAGAGAGCACTGCACACAGTTTATGAGCACCATGGGTGCATTAATTTTGATCACACCCGAACCCATACTTTATCGTTTCAAGCGATAGACTTTGTCAATAAACTCGTTTTCTAGTATACCATGGCATGCAACGTACAAGCGTGGGGTCAAGAAAGCGTACACCAAAATAATGCACAAATTCTGGCAGGAGAGTAAGAAATCTGTACTTTCTGACCAAGACATCTCTGTACTAGTGGGTAATCGAACGCGTCCTAATCAGTATTCATCCCCCAGATCATTGGAATTCAATTTGAAATCAGCAATTATGGTAAATTCTACAAGACCCTCCATCTTTGTACCAGTGGACACTAAATTAGTATGGCGCGCGCACTGAAAGTGCAGGTAGGTACCGGTAGGTGCAATACAGCGCATATGTAGAGTAAATGAGTATTTGACTATAATAATTATTACGGTACAGCAATGTGGTATGTGTACAAGCACTCATCATACACATTCCATATGACATTCTGTGTTTGTGTAGATCTCTACGCTATGCGGCACACAGGCAGTACACACTATGTACACGGCAAATTGGGCAAGCACGTTCGTTGTCGTCTTCCAGCCTGCGTTGTGAATACCATCAGGCAAAGATATCCAAATCCTGCACCACCTCAGCCTTCTCAGGAGGCTTCCACCTGGAATTTGGCAGGGAAACACGCTTCTCCAAGACAGGAACATGGAGGTTGCCATTTGCAACCGCTACCACCTCACACATGAGCTTGTCAACATACTCATAGCTCTTTCTGTCGTATAATTTTCTATTTGGCCACAGTCTTCTTTATGCTTTGAGAACTGGACTTTATACCTTCCTATCGCGGTCTTTTTGGTTGTGCTGTGGCGACGGTTGACATTGACGTCGTCAAGAGCTGCGAGATGTGCGTGTCCAATCATCCCCAGAATTGAGAAACGAATGCGTTTGAGAATGTAGTTTGGCATGACACTGTGATATACCTGCATGGCAAAAAGAATGTGGAGAAAACACACTTGCTTAGACAATATACTGCTGTATGAGAAAATGGAAACTTCACCGTACAGGACGACTCTTGTTCTCAATTGCATTGTTCGTTTCATTCCCTGTGTTGCCCATAAGAGACGGGAGCAAAAATGTTGCAGCAGATGTTTGTTGTCTTCTGGCGTGGAGTGGCGGCGTCATTAGATGTACACATAGTCATTTCACTAAGTATACCACTACTACAGCATAATTATGTACTATCCTTAGGCTAGCGTGCGTGCGAGTGAGTTTGAGTATGTGGGTGCGTATGTGTGTGTGTTGTTGTGTTTGTGTGTGTGCACGCACACGCACGCGCGCGCATGTGGGTGATGGTGTGAGTGCATGTGTATAATATGTGTAGTTCCCACTGTATTCCGTGCACAATAGGTCTTCACTTACTTTTCTTTCGCATACAACCAGAACCCATTCCTTGTTCGAAATTAGATTTTTTTTGGCCTGGTGATCCCGCAAGCGTGGAACTCGGAGTGTAATATATTTTTGTTTCACTTTACTTGCACTATTCCAAGGCTGTCCAGACTTCTAACAACTGCTCTGAGTGATATGGTATTCATGCAACCATGCCTAGAAGTAGGGTAGCTGTTATAAATAGAGACATATCCACGCAATCAACTTACACTGGTTCAGTTTGGCAGGATTGGTGAGACAGTTCGTCGTGCATGCTGCCTGCACATCGCAAGCAAACAGTTCTGTAACCTTCGTACTTGCTGGGGGTCTGTCTGTTTGCGTCCCAGTTGATGACAGATGTGCACAGTTTGAGTACTGGTATGCGCAAAGTTACTGGGGTAATATCGATCATCAGCTAGCTGCAGTCGGAGTTGATGGGGTGATGTACTCTTCTGATCCTGATGGGACGTATCTCGCCCTGCTTTCTCAGTTGCAGCTTGTTGAGTTCGCTTTGCTGGAGGCTCACGGTTCGGAGGGCACTGGTACACTGATGAGGGCTTTCCTGGACGGCGTACTCGTCAAAACTCAGCTCTCAAGTCCCTCTGGATCATAAATGCAGCGAGCAAACATAGCTCGTGCTGCGAAAATAGGCTTGAAATTTTCACGACGCATTGCAACATCTCGGCGCTTTGCCAGGTCTCCATCCTTTGGGAATATGAGAAAACTAACCCCAGGAGGATGATGTGATACTGGCACAATCAACAACACAACAATTTGGCATTGCAGCGGCTCAGGCGACTTGGCAAACTACTTTCTGAAGTGACTTTCGTCCTGAAGAAAGTGAGATTCAAAATCCAAGTATTTTCGCACATTGCCACAATGACGTCACACATACATTGGTATGGGGCGTGGCTAAAATTGAAATATCTCAAGAACGCTTTCTCGTAGAGACTTCGGACCAAGACCATTCGACTCAGCGCCCGAAACTCTACAGGCTATCAAATTTTCATTTTTTCGTGGAGTTCCCCTTTAATAGGAGGAATGCATTCCGAATCGATTCCAGGGCTCATGACATGAAATCGAACGACTTGAATGCATGCGAGTGGATTCATGAATCGATTCAAATGCATAATCGAACGCAGCCAGTGGAACACGTCGCATCCAGTCGCAACTGCCGCGCAAGGACAGTACCCGGCACAGTCATGGCTGGGTTCGGCAAATAATATCAGTGCCAACCATGACTGGTTTAGCATACGTCAGTGCCAACATTATCCCTCACATCATCCATAAGATCTGTGTGATATAGGCCTTCATTCGGTATTCGCGTAGAGTAATGATAATGTAAGCGCCACGTATCGTTGTATTTTTTCGCCGGCGGAGCGCAGCGAGATAGGCGAGAACCTACAACCAGGCATCGATAGGAATGCAGCAAGGGATGGAGGGAGATCAAGTGAGAGAGAGAGAGAGAGAGAGAGAGAGAGAGAGAGACAGGGAGAGGGAGAGAGAGAGGGAGAGGGAGAGAGAGAGGGAGATAGAGAGAGAGATAGATAGATAGAGATAGAGAGAGAGAGAGAGAAAGAGAGAGAAATAAAGAAATAGATAGATAGATAGAGAGAGAGAGAGAGAGAGAGAGAGAGAGAGAGAGAGTGAGAGAGGGAGAGATAGCTAGCTAGATAGATAGATAGAGAGAGAGAGAGCCACGAGAAGAAATACAATGAAACAAGAAAGAGATGAGAAGAGAAAGAAAATAAAACAAGAAAGAGATGATGGACGAGGGTAGTTGCTCATTGACGGGTGGCATAGCCTCACAGAAAGTCCGTAGCCCAGAGCCAATTCTTTTGACGCAAGTGGCCAAGGACCTTCGTCTTGAAGGATCGGAGAGACTTCAACTAGGGCATCGGATCCGGAAACATGTCTTGCGGAAGCCTGTTCCATTCATCCACTACACCATATGGGATCGAACGCTGGAGAAAGTTGGGGGCCGTAGGGAGGAGCACTGCTTGTAGCTGATGCTGGTGGCGGACACGGAGCTGCGACCTTGTCCACGGGACGAGGCTAGTTTCCTGGCGAGGCAGCACGAGCGCAGAGAGATCTGGGTGGTCTTGAAGGCACATTAGCTTGTACATGTACGTGAGAGCGTACCTTTGGCGGCGGGCAGCTAGGCTCTGCAGCAAGGCGTCAGGACCAATGATAGCAAGGGCCTTCCGCTGTACTCGGTCGAGACTTTGCAGGTGAGAGTTGGCTGCGCCCATCCATGTTAATGGTGCGTATTCGAGTACAGGGCGTACGAAGCCTCTGTACGTTGTCAAGCGTCCTCCACGACCAAGGAAACTTGATGCTCGACGGAGAAATCCTAGCCGGGCTACAGCACGAAGAGAAACGTTGCGGAGATGGCATCTGAAGGTGAGTTTGCTGTCAAAGGTCACTCCCAGGAGCTTCAGCTCGTCCCCGCAGGGAATATCATGGGCTCCGAACGTTAGGTCTGGTAGTGGCCAGGGGTTGCGGTGGTGGCCAATATGCAGCAGCTGCGACTTTGTCGGCTCAAAGCGAACTCGCCATTGTTCTTCCCAGCTACTCAATCGATCCAGGCTAGATTGCATGTCTGCAATACCGCCAGCAGAGTCATTCTCCTCCTGTACACATAGTTGTGAATCAATGTAGTTAACGAATATACACAGCTTCTAACACAGCAATATGTGACGTAGGGCATCCAAGGTTGACGGAGTTAGGAGATCGGACATCGTCCATCAACCGTAATTTGTCGGGCAATGTTAGTTGTCCTAAATTGTATTGGGACTATATCTTTTCGATTCTAACTCGTAGAAGGTCTACGTTTCATCTTGTTGTTTTAGAACCTCTGTATATTCGTTTCAGTTGTTTTGTGTCACACCTCGTGACCAGTATTTCCTAATGTGTTCAACATATTGGACTACTACTTGCAGCTTCTGTTTTTGAGTTTTTAGCATATGAGCACGTTATAATAATAGTACGTTAGAAGGTGTCTGAGAGTGGGGAATGCCAAGGTGAAGGCATTAATGTCTGCTCACGTGAGAACCATTCCGAGCAGATCCAGAAACATGCACGACTCTAGCACCGACTCACAGAGCACCCGATGAAGTCTTCCCATGATTACAACATCAGCATTCAGGAAGCATCCATGTACGAGATGTAGGGGTGCTTATTGATCTCAAACAGCTCACCACCTTGGTTTGGTAATCTCAACCGCACAGGTCAGCTGACGTGGTCAGACACTTATTGCTTGCTCTGAGGCCTTGTCATATGAATTCGATTTGTTTACGGATCACTCCGAATAACGGAACCAAAGCCGCTCCATTATCTTAGATGATTTGTTTAAAACTGTGCCGTAATCTTTTGTCTGAGTCTTGAGAACCTAGCTGAAGGGTCCCGTTCCGTTGGGTATAGCCAGCTCCTCAATTCAGCCATTCAGATTTGTACAGAAAGAAAAGGAAAGACGTGATAACGGGTGGGTTACAACTACGCAGGTTTGGCAGGCGACGGACTGACCAACAAGCCTCTCCCCCATTTTGCAATGACCAGAAACCTCTCCACCATCTTACATAGCGCATCATTTATATTTTATCCGGGCCTATGATACCCTAAATTTGGTTCGCTTTTTATACCATGTTTGTAGTCCAAGTATCAACCTCTACACTGTATCCCTATACGGATTGGTGGCCACTTGTTTATCAGACAATGGTTCAACTCTTGCTGTGGTTGTGATAATTCTCACCTTTACCTATCAAAATATTGCAAGCATTTCACACCCCTCTCTCATGCAGACAGTATTCACACTTCCTTCCTACTTGACACTTCGGTTCTTCTCATATTCTCATTGGTGTTCTCTCTATCACTTTGTGCTATAAAACAAGGCGCTTCTCAGTTTAAAGGGTGTGTTATTTCCAAGCTACTAATGCAATCTATTACATTGGTAGTAGAGGATGGTTTCTGTCCTGGAGCTCTGTGCCTTCGCGTTGGCATTCATCTCAGGATGTGCGGTCACTTGGAAGATAGCAAGTCGTCTCCACCGAGCTGCGCGGCAACCCAAGGAGAGGACTCCAGAAAGAAGGCTTCGCCATCGGGATCCTCCTCCGCACACTGGCAAGCCGGTGGAATTCAAGAAGTGGCTTCTCATCGAATTCCCCGCGGAAAGCAGCAGTACTTGGTAAAATGGTAGGGTTACGATGAGCGGACCTGGGAGCCTGCAACCTACTTGATGGATGAATCCGGATCACCAATCTTGCCGTTCAGGCAGTATCTTCGGAACTAAATTGAATGGGAGGGTAGTAGTGTTATAGTTCTCACTTTTACCTATCAATGTATTCCATGCATTTCACACCCTCATGCAGACAGTACTCACACTTCCTTCCTACTTGAGACTTCGGTTCTTCTCACA